AACCTTTGAGGCGGGCTGCCGCCCCGGCGGCACCCTTGGGAAGCGCGGCCGCGGACGCGGACGCCGCCTGCGCGTCGGTCATCTTGGCCTCTCGCGCTGCCCTCAGGGCCTCCGCCTCGGCGGCTTCGGCGGCGGCGGAGCAGTCGCGGCACTTCCGAGAGGCGTCGGGCTTTCGTGCCTGCGTGTTGGTGAAGCTCGACCGGGGAAGGCTTTTCTGTTTGCAGGCGCTGCACGAGAGCGGCTCGTCCTTGCCCTCGCCGCCGTTGCTGCTCGCTTTGCTGTTTTGGGACGCCCTGGTTTGTAAATGGTACGGGGGGGGGGGGGGATGGCGCGAGGAACAGGAAATAGGTCACAGCGAACGACCGCGTTCTTATTTATTGGTTGAACGGGTGCTCGTTTTCGTCGAGCAAGGCGGAAACTGAACCCGAAGTAGGTTGACAATAGCACGCAATCGGAGTGGGGCGAAGTCCAGACGCGCCGGACGGGGAGGGACTACACACAGAATGCATATGCGTATGCAGCGCGTGTCTTCGAAGCGAACAACACGGCCTGGCCTGTCACCCACCGGCAGGCGTGTTTTACCCTGCGGAACGTCCGCAAGAGTCAACCTGCTGACATTTACCGAAGCCCAGCTGTAACACGACACACATCATAACCTCCACACGACGAGATAGGTATCATCGCCGTGAACAGCGGCACCACCAACCTATGATAGTGGAACTGCCGAGGCAGCTACGACAATTTTTGGTCACCTCTCGCGCTCCTCCGTCGCCGCTTTCGCTACGCATTCCTTGCATTTAACCTTGTCTTCGGCGAGCTTTCCTTCGCGCAGCTTCCTCAGCTGATTGGCGCTGAACGATTCAGCGGTCAAACGTTTACGTCGGCACTCGCTGCACGCGAGCGTGCCTGCCCAGGATCCGCCGACCGCGTCCATGTGTGGGTAATTGCTGCACGCGCGTTTTGCAGAGCGGAACATGTTTATAAATGAAACCGGAGAAGTTCATGCAACAACAGACAGCAGATCGGTGTGAGCTTACCGATCCGCAGGGTAGGAGTGGATGTCTGCGTGAGCATTTAGCCAGGAGCTATCCATTGGTCGGCGGACTGATTGTATTGTGCGCTTGCCTACAGATACGAAGGTGCATACAACAAGTAATTTGGTTTCAAATCCCACAGGTACACAGGCAGACTACAGTAGACCTCGAGCGATAGGAGATACTGGAGGTGTTGATATGCCGTTCCACAAAGACGTCCCACATTGCGTTTTGCATTCTTTCGGGAGACCCTCGCCCAGCTTTCTGCGTTATAGGGTCTTGCCGAAGCAATGCGGCCCAACTCATTGTTGTATCGTACATGCAGCGACACCAAACAACAGCAGTAGTGCTGCTGCTGTATTGGTAGATTGCATTGACCGTGAGTCATACGCGCGTATGCCATACGTCAACCTTGCGTATTTCCTGTTGTACTCGAATTTCCTTCCACACACTCACCCCTATCCTTGTATCTTGTATCAACGGCGGTGAGTGGTGAACGGTGTGGCGCTCGGAGAAAGACACGGGGGGCGGGCGAGTTCGGGAGGCATTTTTCCGGGGATACACGCGAGATGTCCCCGCAAAAACTCTTCTGCCTTTGCGCATGTATAGTACCCGGCGGCGAGCATTGTAGGTGGGGTACTCTTTGGCAACATCGACTAGCCACCCGAGGTGGTGCTGCTGTCGGAGGAGATTTTGAGAGTTGATTACCACCCGAGAGAACAAGACACAGAAAAATTTGTGCTTGTTGTGACGAGATGTGACGATCTCTGACGCGGGGTCAGTGTGGAGCTACAGTTCGACCGCTGCTGTGTGCAGGTTGGCGCCGCTTCACTTCTTCAGTCTGTTTCCTTCCTTATTCTTCCTTTCTCTCTCAGTCGCTCGCTATCGCTCACTCCCAGGCAACACTGAGCAAGGGGGGACGCTTACACATCGCTTGCTGCTGCTGTAGTAACCATATTGTAATGTCGGACCACCACAAATCTGGGCAGGGTGGGCGGGATATTCCTGAAGGATATACCCGCCCAGATGGTATCTTAGTCCAAGGGTCCAAATACCATAACATTGTTGCAGTACTACAATGTACGACGGTAATATCTACATAACAATTCGAGCGGAACGTATGCATATGCATAGACGTACATGGTACATAGGTGTATTGTAGTTCTTGGAAGTAGTGAAGAGCCGCAGCAAAAGACAAAACAAACACAGATGGCCACCGCGGTTGGTTGCCTCCCCCCTCCTGGAAAGAAAGACTGTAAAAATTTGAAACGATCTGACAAGGAGACTTCATCACTACACACTATTTTTCAATGGAATAATTGACGGCTATTCACGTTTTTATTAGTCGCCACAACACTGCTGTAGGCTGCTTGTATGCGCAAATTCCCCGACGCACAACACAGGAACACTCACTGCTAAGACTTCAACACATACATCCCGTTCGACTACTGCTGTGGTATCATCTCGAACGGGTACGTAGTAGTCTTGACCAGTGACTGCCAAGTACATTTTTCTTCTAAACAAGACGAACCACACCCAGATTCTTATACCAAAATCAAAGTCGTGGTTGGTTAAACAGTTGCGAAGTATGTACTGCTGTAGTCCGGTTCACATTCAATTCGTTCTTAGTGAAAAACACGAGAAAGAAAAAGTGGCCTCAGATGGTCGCCCAAGAGTGAGTGAGGCATACGACAGGCAACATACATACACAAGCGCATCGCGGGATCAACTTCAGAGTCATCCACGACGGGGAAGAAAGCAAAAACATCAGACGCACAACAACCAGGTTCGTAGGCCTCCGACGTTTGCTACCTGCGGCGGGTTCGTAAACGTATTGTTGGTTGGGTGCTGTAGACGCCTGGTAGCCGGTAAACACGCGCGCTCGGAGGAGACTTGAATAAGTCGTGGCGACTTCTTTGGTGTTTCTTGGGCCACACAACCGCGGCCGAGTTTTCTCAAGGCTTGATTGATTGATTCCCCGGGGTAATCACCTCCACTTGCTCAACATTTAACACACACGTAAGCCACGTGTTTCCTCCTTCAGCAGTTTAACTCTCCTTGCCGATCATCGATCACGACGAGCAGCGGCGGCGGCGACGGAGGAGGAGGTGATGACGTCATCCAAAACCACGGCGCTCCAGTGTGCGTCATGGTACCAAACGCACTACCACGCGATAACCTCCAGACCTAGGAGTCGGGAGTGCAACGCAACCACAGCAGCACCAGCACTCACTGCTACTGAAGCAGCAGCACCTGTAAGTGCTGGGCGAGAGGAGGGGCTTATGTGGTGACAAGACCAATCGATGCAATTCCATCCTATGCTATCCCGCTGACTTGACTGACTTGACTGACGAATGCGCCCAAAGAGAAACAGCAACAGAACAAAGAAACGAAAAAATTCGCGGCCGAAACACTTCAACGACCAACGATAGACAACAACAGACCGTCAAGCAGCGGCCATTTGTACAAGGCAGGCAGGCAGTGACTGAGGAGGTGCTCCATTGCATGCAGAAAAAAAAAAAAAGTTGCCGAGCGGTGCAGAAGAGCGCGAACCTGTCAGCTGGACAAAAGCAACCCCGGATCTCTCTTGTGAGTTGGCTACGTACGCCCCCCGAGATTTGCTCGAAACGACCCAAACATGCATGAGCGGCGAGCAAGCACTCCTTGTCTCTAGCACCCCCCCCCCCCCGTCCCACAAAACCGTCAACCATGCCAACCATCCATGTGTGTAACAACTAAACAGAAGAGCAAAACCTCCCAATTCACGTTAGTTAACACCCACCCTCCGAGCTCCCCGCCGCCTCGGCAGACGCCCACCAAAACTACAGAAAATCAGATTCAATAAAAAAGTAACACCAGTGGAGCCGAAATTTGAAACAGACGGAACAGGTGGCTCGTGATGAATTCGACGAGACCAGGCATGACAAAATGCATTGTTCTCTCTCCTCTCTCGTCAAAGGTCAGTCGGTCAAGGAGAAGGCAGCGATCGTATCATGTTTGCGTGAGACTGGGCGCTGGCGCGACGGACAGAGGACACTTGCAGGCAACAATATTCACCTCTACCACCCTCCTGCACCTCGTGTGCGTCTCTCTTTTTTGAGTGGGCGTTGCAGTCCTTTCGTTTTTTTTCCTCCCCTACCTTCTCAACAGCAAGGAGGAAGACGCCTGCCTGAGTGTTCCACACCCGAGTCAAGGTCAAGTCAAGTACCAAGTACCATGTCGGTCTCTCTCTTACGTTCAGGAGCCCAAAACATACCAGAGAACGGGAAAAAAAGAAGAAACTGCACAAGCACCAACACCAACACCAACACCAACGCCCCCGTCTTCCACGATGCGACATGCTACAAACCACGGCTAATAGTTTCGATCGATCGCTCACTCGCTCGCCATGGCGCCAAGTAATTTCTCTGGCCGATTAACGCGTCATGGAAAAAGCAAACACCTTACCCGCCTGTTTGGGCCTCTTCTTTTCCCCGCCCGTCCCTCCCCCCCCGTTCTTTCCCACTTCTCGCAACCAGATGTGGCCATCCATCGACGACATCAACCAGCAGCGGCTTAACTCCCCTCCGTCGAGGCGCGGACACAAAAATACACGCACACGAAAAACACACGCACACCAAAAAAAATACCCCACCACCAACCAAACAACGGCTATAGAAAAAGCGAAACCCCAAAGTACTCCCCCCCATCACGAAACGGAAATAAAACATCACCCGTCCGTGCGCTCGCCTGACGGCTCGTTCTGCTTTGCGTTTGGGAGGTAGCGTAGCACTCCCACCACACCCTGCCACAGAATCAGCGCAAACAAAGCAAGCAAGCCAGCGAGCCAAAACAGCAGTAGCCCGCCATCCGATCAAATTGCTGCCGACGACGAGCCTCCGCTGCCGCTAACACCACCGCCACCACCACCGCCACCACCACCGCCACCGCTGTCGCCGCCGCTGCTTCCCTGACCCCGTCCCTGCCGGGGTCCGGTGCCGGACAGGTGCCTGGCTCTCCCTCTCGAGCGGACCTCGGCGGGCGGAGCGGGGCGGTTTACCGCGGTGGGGCTCGTGCTGGGGGTGGAGAGGGGGGCTGTCCCTGTAATCAAGTCGTGCAGCTGCAGGAAATGAGAGAGCGCGGGGGGGGGCGGTCGGGCGGGGGTGATGTAACAACAAGACAAAGTTACACCTTTGTTTCCATTGTAACGAAGAAGACAAAACGAGAGAACAGACAGTCACTGGGTTTGATGAGCATTACTACCAACCAGAGAGAGAGAGAGAGAGAGACAGATGCACAGTAAGAGAGAAAGGCCTATACACGCAGACAGGGATCCGATCCGAGGCCTGCCCCGGTGCCTTAAAAAAAGATACCGCTGTGCCGCCGCTACTCCCGCCCAACAGCGACGACAACAACGACAACGACAACGACGGTGACGACGGAAACAGCAACTCCTTGCCTGTCCATCACGCCTTCGTGGCTGCCGCGACACCACGGTGGCCGGGTCGTCGTCGAGACCGCCGCCGTCTCCTCTCCCCTCTCCCCCGGGGCTGGCCGGAGAGTTGTTGTTGGACGTGTCCACCATCATATCCATGTCTTCCGCCGGGTGCTGATCGTCATCCAGCGGGGACGGGATGGCCGCCTGATGGGTATCGCAGTTGGTAGGTTCGGTTCACCCACGGGGTCAAGTACGAGAAGAGAGAGAGAGAGAAAGAGAGAGAGAGAGAGAGAGAGAGAGAGAGAGAGAGACTTCAGCAAGAGGGTTGTATGCCGAACAGGAGTTGCGACAAGCTAACATTCTCACCCCTACCGATACGGGTCCTTACCGTGGGTTGGGATTGACAAAGGTGTATGATCCTAAACCTTCCCCGTGCAATCGAAAGATCTAGAGAAGCTCGTTCTTGTTGTTTCGTGCAGTCTTGATGATGCGCAAGAGGATGTCGCCATCTCTTCACCGAGGACCTCTTGTACCGCTTGCAGAACTCACGCTAACACACGAAAAAAACAATATACTTCCCTTCACACAATCACACAACACAACAACAGAAAAAAAGGAGAATACCCTTTTCTCTATTACGAGCCAAGGGTCCCTGAAGTGGTGAATAACCGTTCGCCAACGGAGGTATTTCGCTTTTCTTGCAATGTGGCGAGGAAGTGCCAAGTGTAGCCGATAGTCTCGCCTTAGCTAGTTCAAGAAAGGTGCAAGGTGAGAGAGTGAGGAGCGTGGGGCGCATTCGCCGCCATCTCCCCATCTCCGAGAGTCACATGAATAGGCACGGTATTCTGTGATTCGTTCCTGGCAAATGTCTTCGGACGATAGAACATGTTTCATGTAGTCCGACGATCTTGCCGGTCGAATGTACATCATTACCTCTAGGAACTAATAGGAAGATACAAACATCCTGGTTTCCACTAAAAGAGAGAGAAAAAAAAAAATCTCACCGGGGTTTCCGTGCTGGCATCATCGTTGTCGAAGTTTCCATCGTCCTCATTGCCGTCGTCCATATCCATCGCATTCTCGCTCTCCATCAGCACCACCGGCGCGCGGTTCGCATCGTGGTGTGACAGCTGCGCACACCGGCGACAAAATTAGACAAACGAAGAGGGAGAAAAAACTCTTAGCAACGTGCCGTCCACGGAAACAAAACAACGGACTTCTACAAAAGTGTTGCCGGTTAGGCTCTCTTGCCCTACCCATCTAGCCCACGCAAAAGAAAAAACTCCTTCCCGACGTTGTATTACGTACCGCTACAGCCTATTAGGGGATGGCAGAACACGAACTATCATGTTGACTATTTTTGGAAACAATCGCAAGGGCACCAGAAATGGCACACGAGACACACAAGACCAGTCGGAAGGCATCGCGAAAAACAGAAATCGTTGATTCGCGCACAGGGCGGCAGTAGAGGCTTCTCAAAACATATATTTCACGCGTCTACCTCCACACGCCCCCTCTGACATCAAGATAAAAACTCACACCATTCTAAATCGAAGTCAAAAGAGCCTAAACGGCAGGCGCTCAAATAAGGTCTGTGTTGCCAGGAACCTGGCGAATAGTACTTCTATAACTAGAGAACATCCTACAGCAGCGGCGGGTGCATGTTGGCGCGCTCAAATCTGCTTCTGTGGTGGTGATATCAAGCGTCGTTGTTTTGTCCTACAACCTCCGCAAATCTCTGCAAATTAGACCGACTCCCAGTGTCTTGTACTGCTTGTGCTCGCCGCCACTGACCCCAACCTCCTGAACTGTGGGTTTACAGCAGTAGCTGATGCCACTAGCTACTGCTGACAACCCTCCGTTCAGGGGTTTACGGTCCGTGGCAGTGAGCATGGATGTGACAAATGTCGGATGCCGCTTGGTTCCGGCGCAGAATTCGGACTGTTTTCAGAGGCTGTCGCGACCTTCGATATTTCAGCTCCAGTAGCAAACCTGAATGTGCCAGCAGGTACGACGCCTCTTGACGGTGTCCTCTACTGATAGTAGTACAAATTACCAGGTTCCTCAGGCGGGAAGGTTGTTTTCTTTCTTTATGTTGGATTAAGTATAAGAAAAAGAGCCAGCGTTAAAACCCTTGTTCTACCCCCCCCCTCCCTTACATCCCCAATCGAACAGATAAAGCTTATCCTTCAGCCGATCTCCGCAAATGCCCCCCCACCCCCGACCAAACGTTTCACTCGCAATATTCAACCTCAAAAGTTCCTCTCCTCCTACTACTATTATTCACCGCCGGCACAGCTTCCTGCGAGAACCGGGAGGGTCCCCGGTTTTTACTTTGTTGCCACCACCCGGGCGGGTGTCAAAACTCACCACCCCAGGCACGCACTGCCACCCCTTCTGGGGAGGCGTGCTGCAGTTGTCGACGACCCCGTAGTTCTCGTAGAAGGGTATCTGGTCGGCGTGCGACTGCCCCTCGTTGCCGAGAGTCCTCTGGATGAGACAGATCACCCACTTGCGCCTGGCCGCGGAAGTCCCGTCCGCCTTGACGCGGTACTGGCGTTGGACGAGATGGCGCGATAGGTGGAAAGCGGCAAGCAAAGCAAAGGAGAGCGAGCGAGAGAGAGAGAGAGAGAGAGAGAGAGAGAAGAGAGGGAGGGCATACACACGTGAGTACGTGTTAGCAAAGCCCGCGAGGAGCAAAGAAAAAAAAAACCAAGGGCCAAGGCACGGGAAACGATGGAGGGGCACAGACAAGGGCAACACGCAGGGGGGGGGAGGCACCACCACAAACGCAGGGGGTCTTCATAGAGCGGGAAAATGCCTCTTTGATTCCACACAATGTGGTTAACCACCGAGTCACCGTGGTCAGTCACGGGTTGGATTTCACCCAACCCCGCTCTTACTAAGGCTCCGATGGTGTAGGGGGTTAACCCGTGAACCTACCAGCAAGTTGTGAGTTCAATTCTCTCTCTCTCTCTCTCTCTCTCTCTCTCTCTCTCTCTCTCTCTCTCACTCTCACTCTCACACACACACACACTAGATGTTACCGAGGTGACCAAAACAGCCTACAAAAACCCAACACTATCAACCACAACGCTATTTTCTATATCTACATATCCCTGCCTGGCGTGCATCAACGCACCGCTCCTCTCCTCTCGAACACTCACCACCAAACCGTACGAGTCTTCCGGCGCCCTCGCAAGCTCGTTTCGGTCCCGTTGCGCATAACACGGTACCCCGTCTGCCATCCTCGCCCTGTAGTACCGCCCGTCCAGCTCCGCAAAGCCCGCACCTTCCACCTTGAGGCCGTGCGGCCCTACGCTGCTACTGAGGGGCACAAGAACGGGAAGAAGGAGGTGGGGGCGGGAGGGCACTCATGTTTTGCTTGCCTCAGCGGTTCAGACCATTGACCACGCGTACTCGAGAGGACAGAGGCGGGGGGGCGCGGGGGCAAGCGCGTTCCTTCTCGTTAGACGGCAAACAAGAGGTGCGTTGAAACTGAACTGAGCTGTGAATCGGAAGGAACAGATAGTGAACCGAGCGAGCTGGTCGCCAGAGTCGAAACTGCTCACCTGCTGTCGCTTTCGTCCCCGGAGTCATCTTCCTCGCCGCCGCGTCGAACACCGCCGCTACCGCTACCGTCGCCGCCGCCGCCGCCACTGCCCCCCCGGGCACCCCCACCCCGATTGTTGCTGTTGCTGCTGCTTCCGCCGCTGCTTCCGCCGCCCCGCCCACGCGCGCCGCGGCCTCTGTCTCCCTGGATGATGAGCTGGGCCTCTTCGTTGTTCTGCAAGAGGCAGATCAGAGAGCCCAAAAAATTAACGAGAAGCAACAAAGTGCGGCAAAAAAAAAAGAACCACGAGCCGGGTTACGAGGGGCCTGGCAACAGCAAGTTGCGAGTTCCTGTCAATACAACAATAGCTGTTGCAGATAGCAGCGTGCATGCCGCTGAGACAGACACGCGCAACCGTGCGGTGAGCGGTGAGCACAACTTAGCAACTCAAGACAACGCGCTTAAGCAGAAGTGACTCGTCGACAGTAGTTACCTTCCCAAGCGTAACGATAGGGGTGCGCATCCGCAGCATATCCCGAGCTGCGACCGGCATCGAGGGGCAAGAACGGCCTAAAGAACAAAACACAAGAGACAAAACGATTCGTCCGTATACATGTACATACTTTTCCAACTCAACACACGAAAGAAAAAGACAACTCACGTCTACCCAGTCGCGCACTGCCGGGACTCCCTTGTAGGCCTGGTGCCATAGCTTGCTGTAGCGCGAGAGCACGCTCTCGGACTGGTTGGTGACGTTGAAGTTGTTGTACCGAGATCGCTGAGTAGCAGACCACGTTTGGACGAAGAAAGCGAGGGGGAGGAGGAGGAGGGGGAGGAGGAGAACAAGAGTGCCAGCGTGGGTTAGATGCGGCAGCAACGGGTACCATATTTATATCTAAACACAAGGATGTACCGAAAAACCTATAACTGCGATAAAGATGAGCAAGATAAAGCAACTACTATGCAAGCATCCCGCATGTGGTGTGCAAGAACATTACCACTTGCTCGGAACCACCCTGGCTCTATTGCCTGAGGCAACGGTCGCGATCTCTTCCCAGTGGACCAAAACCACGGTCAACCCCCCCCCGGACCATGATGTTACAACTAAGGCATGCAACATGCGATGAACACCCTTGGCAGGGGATGCAGCGCACCCTCCATGCGGCTCGCCGAATACCTCACGGCGCTTCGCGCTTGGTGATGTGAGAGCCTGGCCCGGTGACAACAACCCGACCTGCCCCGTCCCTGCTTTGTAGGGATGCCAGGTCAACAGTCTAACAACCCGGCGTACCCCCCCCCAACCGAGCACACGTACCTCAACCATTTGCGCCTTGATGACAGGTATGAGGCCAAAGTGGGGGTCTTCGAAGCAAATCGAAATCCTCTTCCCCTGGACCTCGTCGCGGACACGCAGGAGGGTCATCACCAACGAGTGCAGCACCTTGTCCCTCCGGTCGTCTACCGGCCACGCTGCACCAAACAAAAAAAAGAAAGAACACAGGCAGCCAAGCCGGAGGGACGCACGGCACACGCGAGATAAAACACCGACGTTGCGGCATGTATTCGAGATTGACGTGACGCGCTGTGCGGATAGATGTGGCATGGTCTGTGTTGGGATTTTGCCTTATGCGGAATCTTGGCTGTCACCCGTCATCAAAACGATAAAACGATGAAATGATGGTAGGTGGGAGCGGGGTTCAAGGCGGGGGCGGGGGCGGGGGAACAGGTGGTTGTATCGGACCACACGGACAGACAAGCCATGAGATGGCATCAAAAGGATAGCACGGCGGTAATGCCGCATGAGCGAGCGATATACTACGAACCAACATCGGTAAACAACCTATAGCTCGCCGACTACATCCCTCAACAAAGAGACAGAACACGGCAACAACAGCGACAGCGACAGCAACAACTACGAATAGCAGCAGCACAAGCAGCAGCAACGACAACAAAACACTCCGGCATCCACCTCTGTGCTTCTCCTTCTTTCCTCCCCCCCCCCCCTATCCTCACCGGGTCGTAAATGGTAGATGTCCGAGAGGCACGTCAGGAGCAGCTGCATCGACTCGTGCGGGCTGTCCATCGCCACCTTGCACAGGATCATCGTCTCAGACTCTGCCCCCATCGAGACCCCGCTAGAGAGGTGCGATGCCGCCAGGTAGAACTCCGTGCTATTTTTGTTGAATGCGGTATTGTTACCGTTGGCGGCAGACAGGTTGCAACAAGACCGGAAGCCATCGGCACGCGGGGGGGGGGGGGGGGGGGGGGACCCTTTTTTGGTTGGGGCGAAACTTTTAAAAATTAACCCCCCCCCCCCTTGAAAAAAAAAACCCTTTTCCCCCCCATTGGTACCGGGGGGGGGGGGGGGAAAGGCCACCCCGGGAAAAAAAAAAACCCCGCTG